AGAGAGAGAGAGAGAGAGAGAGAGAGAGAGAGAGAGAGAGAGAGAGCGCGAGACGAGATGAAACTTTTCGCCAGCCGACGTACACGTAGTACGTGCGCTCTACGTGAGTCGTTCGAGACGCTGAAAATTTAAGCCAACGGTTTTATCCGCGAGGAGAATACACAAGGACGCGGTCGGTTTGCCGAGCGAAGTCCGTCCGGCGTCGACTTCGACGTGTGGTTCGCTCCCTTCGCCGTGAACAAATATCAGAATGAATGTCTCTCTTTCAATTTTATGCAAATTGCATTCTTGAGAAGAGCGCGCAGTATGTGAAGCTTGAATGCAAAAACTGAGACTTCTTCGTCCGACCGTAGAATAACATTGTCTGAACGCGCGAATCACGCGTGAATATTTATTGAAATTGCGTTATCGAAGAGTACAATATCTCTCTGATTCCCGAGAACCGAATTTCGTTCATTCGGAACCGGCGATTCCGTTTCCTCCGAGCGAAACGCATTTAATTGTGTCATTGTCGCGTTAATATCAATATTTCCCCTCCATGTATTTTTATCAAATGATACAAGAGTTAATAATGAGTCGTCTACATCTAATTTATCTATTAATTTATTTCACTTTGTATAATTTATTTATAATTGATTAGACTCTAATAATTCTAACAACGACGATCTACAGGCTGAGTTACCTAACGTTAGATTCTAAAATAGCGTTAGAATTTCTATTGACGTTTATGTTAAGAGAGGGATAAATATATATTTTGTGGATAATAAAATATTCAAACCACACAGTTTATTTCTCACACATTTTCCTCTAATATAAGAAAATGAATATTTTATCTACATGCAGAAAAGGGATCAGAAGCGAAAATATAACTGTGACAATTGACGTGCTATTGGACGGTGCTAATAGGAACGGTTATAATGTCGTTATTACCGAAGCTAAATTTATCAACTATTTCACTGCTAGATCAGAATTCCCATTATCGTCTCGCTTTTCATCCAAATCACGCTTTATACTCATTAAAAATATAAAACTGACATTTCGCGTTGCAAATAAAAACTGAGATTTTCTATTTGTTTTTAACGTAGATCAATAATTAATGTCCATCTCAATGGACTCACAAAAAAGTTGTGTACTTACATGATCACTTGACGCTTATTCCACAGAAGGACAATTTCACGTTCTTAGGAAGCGCGGTGATCTCCCCTTTCCAATAGTCCTTGTTTCAAGTTGCTAGGATGTCTACAAGTGGCGTTATTAACGATTATGTCGATTCGCGTTTTAGATCACTCGGCGTAAGCGCTGAATACGTGACGACGGACGCGTGAATGGAATGCGAAGCACGACTACTCTCTCCCCGCGCGGTCACCTCTACGCGGCACGCGACGGCACGCACTGGCACGGGACGCTACCCCCCCCCC